TTCATCGGTGTATACGTGTGTCCATTCGCGTTTTGAATAGAAGCTGTAGACATGTTCAAGGGTCTTTGCATGCAGACCTGGGGCTATAGTATATGGTTGTGTGGTTCATGAACCCAGGCACAGATACCCGAGGAGAAGAAAAAAAACCGCCATCTAGTTCACCAACCAAGAACAGACTCCATTCTTTCTAAGCGCTGTCATCAAGATACTATATCTGACTCTGTTGTAAGCATCTTCTGCCCGGCTCAAGTGCCGCTACCACCGTTTCCTGTCTGTTCTGGTAAATATAATGTTTGTGGTCCGGGTTCACTCCCGTGAGTAGATTTTAGGCGCTCCCAGGGGCCGGTACCATAATGGAAGAAATACTTGCGAATGGGGTAGTGCCGAGCCAAGGCGTACAACTCATGGTTCTGGATACGTTTCAAAAAAAAAAAGTAAGCATCTTCTAAATCAAGTGCCGCTACCACCGTTTCTTGTCTGTTCTGGTAAATATAATGTTTGTGGGAGGATGTGTTGCCGTGAGTAGATTTGAGGCGCGGCAGGGGCCTGAGCACAAGTAAGAAATACTGAATGGGGTAGGGCTGAAGGCGTGACTGTTCCTGAGTATCAAAACTCGGGTGTTTATGAATGTCTACGTTCCTTGGCTGTGTACTTCCCCCTCCCCCGTGGAAATAAGCCACACAAGGAACGTAGACATTCATAAACATCCTAGGGTTCCACCATTTCTACAGCGAGGCGCATTCGTCGTTTGGAGGTGATAGGTTTTATTCCAGGCATGGTAACTATAGCTTTAGATTTTCATGTTGTCTATTGTGTTCTTCTTTCTTTCTTCTTTCTGTAAATGAACACGAGAAAACAATACGTGTATATTTGTTTATATACGGTGTCTATAGCCCAAAGGAATACCCATCTGTATATTTATGTGTATTATGCAGATAATAAGAGGGAGAAAGATAATTCTCAAGAGCTATATCAATCATATGATATAAGGAAGTGAATCATGCACAGCTGAACGATTCACAAACAAAAATTATTTCGAAAAAGCAAAAATGTGGTTTTATAGACGAATGATGAGAATACCATGGACAGTTTAAAGAGTAATGAAGATGTCTTGAAATAAACTGACTTGTGAAGAGAACTGATAGCCCACACAGAAGCAGACAGTCTACATACTTTGGTCATATCCAGGAGAAAAGAACAGAGAAGATGCTGTACCCAGTTTTCTTTCCTTGATTTGTTCCGGTTCACTGCAAGGACAAACGCTCAATGTGTTGTGTTCGTTCCTTGTTAGGGTGTGGGATTCGTACAGTTAATTATCTGATTAAGAATCTGGTCGAAACGTTGAGCTGTATCTGTGTGTGAGACTGTCCCTTTCCTTCACTGGGTTTCTAGTTCATTTTCCTAAACGATAGCATTCAGCTTTTCGCGTTAGCACACTATTTTACATTGTTTCTGGCACCTGTTCGTCTTTCTCCACGATAGTGTTATAGTGTGCTTAGAAAAACATACGGGACACAACCAGTGGCGATGGCTAGTCTAACTAGCAAGACATGTTGTGAAAAGTCCCTTCCCCTATAGCGCAAAGCTTGGGCAGTATTGTAGAGACTATGTGTTGCTCATGCAGCGCGCAACGTGATCTCTCACTCAGTCTGCCTTGTTTATTCCAAAGAAGAGATAACACCAATATGCTGGAACAAAGCATGCTACAGGCTGCTGAATCGGAATAGCAGTGCTCTGCCTTTTTGCCTAACAGAGCTTTTCTCCTAGACCAGCTGCCAATCAAGGCTAAAAACATGGTCTGCCTTGTCCTACAACAGCTGCCAATCAAGGCTAAAAAACATGGTCTGCCTTGTCCTACAACAGCTGCCAATCAAGGCTAAAAACATGGCCTGCCTTGTCCTACAACAGCTGCCAATCAAGGCTAAAAACATGGTCTGCCTTGTCCTAGACCAGCTGCCAATCAAGGCTAAAAAACATGGTCTGCCTTGTCCTAGACCAGCTGCCAATCAAGGCTAAAAAGCATGGTCTGCCTTGTCCTAGACCAGCTGCCAATCAAGGCTAAAAAGCATGGTTTGCCTTGTCCTAGACCAGCTGCCAATCAAGGCTAAAAAGCATGGTCTGCCTTGTCCTAGACCAGCTGCCAATCAAGGCTAAAAAACATGGTCTGCCTTGTCCTAGACCAGCTGCCAATCAAGGCTAAAAAACATGGTCTGCCTTGTCCTAGACCAGCTGCCAATCAAGGCTAAAAAACATGGTCTGCCTTGTCCTAGACCAGCTGCCAATCAAGGCTAAAAACATGGTCTGCCTTGTCCTAGACCAGCTGCCAATCAAGGCTAAAAAACATGGTCTGCCTTGTCCTAGACCAGCTGCCAATCAAGGCTAAAAAACATGGTCTGCCATGTCCTAGACCAGCTGCCAATCAAGGCTAAAAAACATGGTCTGCTTGTCCTAGACCAGCTGCCAATCAAGGCTAAAAAACATGGTCTGCCTTGTCCTAGACCAGCTGCCAATCAAGGCTAAAAAACATGGTCTGCCTTGTCCTAGACCAGCTGCCAATCAAGGCTAAAAACATGGTCTGCCTTGTCCTAGACCAGCTGCCAATCAAGGCTAAAAACATGGTCTGCCATGTCATTAGACCAGCTGCCAACCAAGGCTAAAAAACATGGTCTGCCTTGCCACAACATTTAAGCTGCACATTACACGTTCAGATTCCCAATCTTAGATTATTACAGCAATACTACTACTAACGAAAATAATTCATTCAAGAATCACAGTCATTAGCCGAATCATGTTTGGTGTGAAAATCCAGCCCACAATGTGGCCATGTTATGTTAGAGTGTGCATCCGCTAAAATATTCTTTATTCGAATCCTAATTCATAAGCCAGAACAGTGACAAATATCTTCTTTAGATAAAAAACAATTGTTAGCTGATAAAGCACTGTATTCTTCTTCTATAGAACATGCTGCCTGACCCTAATTACCATGTCAGACCACACTGTTTCTGTCTAATGTGCTGCCAGTCATTTCTTGCCCATCATCAGCATGCACATTTTTATGTCCATTTCTGATTTTATGCACAAATACCTCACAAAACTGTCATTCATAAAATTATCACCGTATATATACATAATCGAAGATGAATATCAAAGGCATTTTGACCGTCTGAAGAAAATGAATCAAACCATGGATTTCACAGATGGCAGGAAAGGCAATAACACAGTGTCCAGGTTTATTAATTCACAATTTGTTAACCACTGAACTAATCGGCTTCACACTGAATGATGCAAGCAATGAACGGTGTCCCTGTGGCAAATGGTTAATTTTAATTAAGCAATCAGAATTTCATTTTGGGATAGTTCCCTTATCACTGCCACATAGCACAGAATTTTAAAAAAAATGAAGAGCAGATGTGACAAAATATGTATCCATTTTTTATTTAAGACATAAATAGACATAAAGAGAAGTACATGACAAATCAATGCTTCACAGACGTGATCAAGTTAAAACACCAAATTTAAAGTTTAGACATCACACATATATTCTACATGAGTAAAGTAAACATCAGTGTTTATAAGGCACAGTAGAAAGATGTTGCCATGAGATGCCCTTGAATATTGCTTACCATGTTTAGACTGATATAATCATCATTATGTGCTACATCAATAAGCATTAGCGTGCAGACTATCTTGCCGACACTGCAGTTGCTATGGCTGGTTAAGTACTTGGCAGAAGTGATGTTTTCAATGCCATGCGCTGCACTTACCGTACCGAGGAGCATGCCAAAGGACATGACTCTATATCCCTGTCTAGACTGATGGACATGGGAGTGCAGCCTAGAGCTGCAAGAAATTAACATTTCACTAAGGGGACAAGACGTTTTATTAACAAACACAACAAAGAAAAGGCATCAACAGTCGTTTTACACTTGTGGAGCTTTTGAGGAGGAGATCAGAGCACCTAAGGATTTGTCCGGAGTGCTGTGATGATAATCCTTTCTTATCACTAATCTATATGACCAAGCCATCCAGCTATTTGTCTCTGTGCCTTTTCCTTACTCTTTTTCTATCAATCTTGCCAGTCTTTACCAAGTTCTAGAGTAAATTCAATCTCATAACATGTCAGAAAAACACAGACTTTCTACAGATGAACAGAAACCAGATAAGAAATCTTCCATCCAATCATGATGATATGCAGAATAAAATCAAAAGATGATAAATCCATATCAGGAAACGTTTTGGGGACTGAACCAGGGCTCCCAGGTCGAACCAGTCTAAAGTGGTACCAGAAAATGTCATGGGAAGTAAAAGTGGCTGACAGGACAACTTTTTATAAATGTCACCACTGAGGGAGATTGGTAGAAATTTGATTTCCCAGCCATGATTAAAGTTATGAGTGAGGGAGACACCATGGTGAGAGAGACACCGTGGTGAGGGAGACACCATGGTGAGGGAGACACCATGGTGAGGGAGACACCTTGGTGAGGGAGACACCATGGTGAGGGAGACACCATGGTGAGGGAGACACCATGGTGAGGGAGACACCATGGTGAGAGAGACACCATGGTGTTATGATTAGACTTTTGCCTGTGGATCCAAGGTCATGGGTTCACATCTTGATATAGCCAGACTTTTTCACAAATTACGTGGCAAACCCAACCTAAAATCAGCACCAGGTAAAGTCCTGAAAAGGTGGCCAGCACAATGTTAACCACATCACCCACTCAGTGCTGATTGGTCTATAAAATATAGTACTAGCCCTATGTGCCCAATACGCCTGAAGGCGTGGAAGAGGGTCCTTTACTTTTGATATCATTGGGCAAAACCCTGGGTGTTTGGTCAGTCACTTTAAAGAGACTGAGCTAAGTGAAATGAAACCTAGTGCAAAAGAGTCAGCTGTATTACCTTTAAGCCACTTTACAGCTTAACAGTTGGAATGAAAAGTAAATGATGAAAGGAGTAACTAAACATTATATGGTGCAGTAGTTGCAATGGCAGACAAGTTAAATCTTTGGTTCACCAGCAACGATCTGACTTTCTATCCCACACTCATCCCGTCCACGGATGATTTTGAAAAAACCTGGATTATCAAAACAAAGAAACAAAATAACTTTTAATGATATATATTTATACACACACACACACACACACATATATATATATATATATATATATATATATATATATATATATACACACACACACATATATATATACATACACACATACATACATAAATACATATATACATACATATATATATATATATAAAGGCATTGATAATATATGAAGAGCTGATACCTGAACTGTCAAGACTACTAAGATCTCATTCAGGAGAACAGGTTAAAATCCTTGGTAAGACTATTTGGGGTTTTTTCTGCCCAGGCAAAAATAATATTATAACCTACAGAGCTAATGGTGACTGGACTAGACATGCAGCCCTCAATCCTCAAAGGCCCCGCTGATAACACCACAAAAGTGGTAAACACAGTAAGTAATGGCAGTTTTAATTATTAAAAAGTATATTGACAGTAGGGTGCAACTGGATTTTTACATAATTCACAACCAAAAAAATACGGTCATCAAATGTAAACTAAAACAAACAAAAAAAAGTTTCTTTAATAAACTGGCATTTTTCTTTTCAGTAGGCCTCACTTTCAAATGTATGAAATATTACTTCCACTTTTTTGTTTTACAAGGTTATAAATGTAGCTAACAGTCTTGTTCTGTTTTACCAGGCAGCCGGTTACTCAGCGCGAAAACCAGAAAGCAGCAACCGATAGGGCAATCTGCGAGGCCGACCTTTAAGCAATGCTTGAGGACTTTAACAAACAAGTACACCCACACAAACTAAGGATGGAAGAAGACGGCAGCCGCTATGCGATCACCTATGACTAGGAGGAGCTCGAGAAGAAAGACCTAACACCCGAAGAAACAGAAAAGCGGCAAAAACTTGACAGATTTTACGATGAACTCAACGCAGCCCTTAAGCAACTGCACGTGTACAGGCAAAAACAAAGGAAACAAGGCACGCCCAACAGAAGAGGTTATCGCCAGTTCTAAATGCAACTAAAGAAAGTCCAATGAATATGCCGCCATCTTCACGGACAGCACATCAAACGATTGCCAGACCTGATAGCAGAAGACAGCCACGACGAGACCGCACCCATTCCCGTTCCAGGCCGCCCAAGGCAAAAAATGGCAGTCCCTTCTTGGGGCTGACAAATCCACTCCCAAAAAGCTGAACTATGCCCACCAAGCCTGATGAGCAGACATGTTGTAGCAGCAAGAAATCAAACTTAGGCGAAAATGATCACCGCAAAGAAACAAACGAAATTCAGACAGCAAAGAAACCGTCCTCGATAAAGCAGGCCTTCGGGCGGCTGAAAGAGGACAAAGTTTGACATTTTTGTTTTCTTTTTCCAAGTTCCATATTCGTGTTTTTTTTTTAATGTTATCTTGTCCTCATGTTGGAGTAATTTTTCATTTTTCTGAAGACCCCCCCCCCCCCCCCCCCCTTTTACTGGGGGCCTTAATATAACCTAATGGCTAGGACCTCTGCATAGTCGATCCTCATCTGAATGGTGGCACTTTGTGTCACCGGGTGTTTATCTCTCAGTGTGTGTCTTAGTGGGTTAAAAGGTGGGTCAGTCTAGTGGGTTAAAAGGTGAGTCAGTCTAGTGGGTTAAAAGGTGAGTCAGTCTAGTGGGTTAAAAAGTGAGTCAGTCTAGTGGGTTAAAAGGTGAGTCAGTCTTGTGCTGTGGACGCTCTTCTGTATTTAAGAAGTAACTTACAATTCTGATATTACTTTGCCTACAGTGCAGTTACATGTATTGTTACGGACAGAAGTATAGACAGATGGATCAGCAGCCAATGCTCATTTGACTGAGAGTGTTGGTATCTGTAATCCATATCCAGAAAACCACCTGGCGGCAAAATGCATTACTGTTTGTAGGATGAATGCAGGCTAGAGGAGGGTCTGAAGTCTCAGGATTTCAGGCTGTATAGCTAGTGCAGTCACCTTGGACTGTACAAACTATCTCTCTATATCCTCTTTAAGTCGCTGTTGACACATAAAGCATTCACAAATGATCTACATAGCTGCCGGTCTGCTGCTTTTCTGCCTATGGTATCCCATGTCAGTTTACATTCCTTCATTTCCCGTTATATTGTCCTTCTCTAGGTTTCCTTAGGTCGTCCACATTTCCTTTTCCCATCTGCTGTCCACCAGAGAGCTGTTTTTGCCAGAGTATCACAAGCCATCTCCATCGCCAACTTTTGGACTTATATACCATGGGTAAAATCATTCTGAACTACAGAGCAGAGATGCAAGCATGAGAGTATGTGGATATGATAAACAACATAGCCATGAGCGACAACAAGTGGCAATCTTCACACATCCTTGTCAAAGTTGCAAGCTCTCAACAGTGACAAACTTCCTTCCCTGTGATGTGAAGTTAGCAGTTTAAAGATCCCTTTTCACGCCTTCAGGTGCATTGGGCATATGTGGAAAGCACCCATATTTTTACAGACCACCGACACTGGGTGAGTTACTGTGGTGAGCATTACGCAGGCCGTCTTTACTTCCCCAGGACATACACCCTGGTACCCATTTTAAGCTGGGTTGACCTGCGATGCATCATACCATGATAAAAATCCACACAGCCAGCAGTGGGTTTCGATTTGGGTGCGTTAACTTAGCAGGCGTTGACAAAAAGAATAATTTAATCCAGCTATTTCCTTCTGTAATATAAAAAGAAATGAAAGGGCTGATACAAACAACAGCAGGTATAAAGATCACAGCTTACCTGCATCGCCCCAGTCAGGATTCCAGGAGTTTGCAACCAGCCAATATTTAGTCGCATTTTCCACACCATATCCCAGAATTTTCACAGCATGACCACCTAGAAGAGATCCTGAAGTGTGCTGGTACACACCTGGTGGGGGAATTCGATATAGTTAATTATAGTGACAAAATATCTCAGGACTGTTAAGGATGGGCAGATGCGGTAGAATATAAAAATGCACAGAATTTGTTAATTTAAGTAGAATATTTAAGTACAATGAGGGTTTTTGTTTGTTTGGGTAGAGTCTATAATTAGGCGTGGCATTTATATTGCTAAGGTTTGCACCTTTTCTTCTCTCTAAATGATAGTGACCCATTGCACAATGAAAACTGGCTGTGGTGAATGTGTGCACAAGCTGCTGTCTGAGAACAGTAAGCCGTCAGGCTTGTACAGGACAACTCTCGTACCACTGTCTGAGAACAGTAAGCAGTCAGGCTTGTACAGGACAACTCTCGTACCACTGTCTGAGAACAGTAAGCAGTCAGGCTTGTACAGGACAACTCTCGTACCACTGTCTGAGAACAGTAAGCCGTCAGGCTTGTACAGGACAACTCTCGTACCACTGTCTGAGAACAGTAAGCAGTCAGGCTTGTACAGGACAACTCTCGTACCACTGTCTGAGAACAGTAAGCAGTCAGGCTTGTACAGGACAACTCTCGTACCACTGTCTGAGAACAGTAAGCAGTCAGGCTTGTACAGGACAACTCTCGTACCACTGCCTGAGAACAGTAAGCAGTCAGGCTTGTACAGGGCAACTCTCGTACCACTGTCTGAGAACAGTAAGCAGTCAGGCTTGTACAGGACAACTCTCGTACCACTGCCTATAGACCATGAGAAGTTTTTTTTCTAAACCGCCTGCAATGGGAATCAAACCCTGGTACACTGAGAACTGTGAAATGTCTTCACTAACCTCTAAGCCTTACAGCATCACTACATCTCTTCTTCTTCTTCTCTTTTCTTCTTCTTCACATTCACAAGCTGTAAACTCCGAAAGAAAAGATCTGATTGTTCATACACTTGTGGACTTTAGTCTTCTTCCAACATTAGACAAAACAGGGTTAGGAATACTAGCATTAGAATGAAATGGTTCCGCCATTGAGGGCATATGAGACTTTTTACAGTAGAACATCTGGCATGAAGGCAAGGGGGAAGACCAAGAAAGAGATGGATAAATGGTGAAGCTAAAACCCACGAAAAGATGAACAACTCCATCACCCAAGCCACCCGAGAAGTGCAAGACAAACACAGAAAAACCAGGATACTGAGCTACAACCTGGTATCAGTGACAGGCAAAATAAGAAAGGTCTTGTTCCAGAACTTGAGTTTTGCGTGCACTTTCATTTTACAGATCTGGTTTTGTGTGCACTTTCATTTTACAGATCTGGTTTTGTGTGCACTTTCATTTTACAGATCTGGTTTTGCGTGCACTTTCATTTTACAGATCTGGTTTTGCGTGCACTTTCATTTTACAGATCTGGTTTTGTGTGCAAAATCCTGAATCCTCTTCCCTCAGGCAGATGCACTCTGACGTAGAAAAACTCTAATTAGTTCTTTCGAAATAGTTAAATAGTTGATGGGGGGGGGGGGGAGCATTTAGTTTCCCCTCCCCCCATTTCGGAACCCACATAGGCAGCAAAACTAGACAATTTATTGATGATGTGTGCATTAACTTGTTTTCTTCTTTCTAACTTACCAGATTTGTAATTTAAAAAATCGCTGTAGACATTAAAAGCAGCTTCAACAGGGCCATTTTGTACAAGTTCTTGCATAATATTTTCTTCTCCACGAACTGAATATGAGTCTGAACCTGAAAAATTGTTACCAAATAAAAAAATTAAATAATTGTTAATATAACTCTTAGCGCACTGTGCGCACCACTTCAAGTTTCACAAATATTACCCCAAATTTACTGAATTATATTTATAGTGGCTTCAGCTGTTGGCACTCTATAAGTCCACATTACCAAGGTGTTTGAAATGTAACTATTCAACTAGAGATATTGTAATACATATTATATATTGGTTTTTCATGTTATATGTATAGAGTTTGTGTTTACAAACAATTGTAAACCTTATTTTTTTAATTTAACAGGTGTATTTTCCTTGGGTTTTTGTTTTTATCGCCTTGTTTACAATATACTGTCTATTCTGGTAATATGTAAACTGACAGGCTGTTCTTCTATATTGAATCCCCTAACAGACCCTTGAGCATATCATCTCATCCTTTACTCTTTACCTAACTTCTTCCCCATCTTTGCACAATCCGTTGCTATTTATGTAACTGCTTCCATATTTTTTTTTAGTCAGTAAGTACACTGCAGCCAACCTTCCCTGTGAGGAGACAAATAATTACTTTTCAAGATTTAAAAAAAAAAAGTTAACAAAAGTATTTACTGACCATAGTGTTTGTCCTTGGAGTATGAAACTTTGTAGCTGTCCTCACAAACCTTTTTACATTTAGGGGTCTTCATTTCTTTCTGGCCACAAGGCTGCAGATGGCCAACCACATGGTGGTCACAGGCTGGGATCTCATATGGCTGACAGCCCTGAAATAAATACATGCTCTGGTCAGTTACATGACTATTTTGAACTTCTGGCGATTTGAGGAACAATGTATCGAGAGAGGCCACTTTGTATTTCCGTGAAATTTATTTAGTTTGTGTGCTTCATTAGATGATGACGTTTCTCTGTAGTTAGGCATTGCAAACACACTTTGTAATGCCGGGGTAGCAGGTTAGATCCCAGCTGCAAGTCCTTGAGCCTTGCGATGGTTTTGACAGCGGTATCAAAAGCCGACCGTCCAGAAAGTAATGGCAAACTACTGGACATAAATTTGTCTAGAAAAACCACAACAGCCAAAAAATGCTGGGGTTGGTTATGCAACATCCTGTAAAGGATACACAACTAACTTAAAAATATCTGTCGTAAAACACCTGACGAAAGATAGGGAAAAATGCAATACTGAGCAAGTATTGTCTGAGCCCCCATTAATTAAATGCTCGACAGCTGCTACAAGTGCAAATCTGTTAAGCCTATGATCATAGGTATGAATCTCGATAAGGCAATTTTTCATTAATTTACAAGAAGTCAATAAGTGAGTACCAAATGTTTGTTTAAAAAAAAAAAAATATTTTAAAACTAAAGATGATGACAACTTGAAAACCATTTATTTATACACATACACTGTCTCTTTATTTTTCAACATAATTTCCACCAACATTTATGCACATGTTCCATCGTTTTATCAGTCCTTCCAAACCTGCTGCATAAAACTGAGTGCTCTGTTTTCTAAACCAGATTTTCACTTCACATTCAACTATTCGCGAAATGTCTCCTGCCAAGGTGGGTTTTCAGTGGACCAAAGAGGTGAAAATCGCTAGGGGCTAAGTCAAGGCTGTAAGATGGATGTTCCAGTAGTTCTTCCAATTGCATCATGAAGCACCAATAAAATATTTATATTATGAATCAGCATTTACATTGTCACCTTTGTTCTTTTAAATTGGTTAAAAGCAAAATTGGTTAAAAGCACTCCTTGACAGTGACAGAACACTGTCAGCATAACCTTCCCTGCTGATCTCAAAACCTTGCATTTTTAAACACAAGGTGAAGAAGGATGTTTCCATTGCACTGAAGCACGGTTTGATTCGGGCTGGTAGTGATGCATCTATGATTTGTCCCCAGTATTAATCCTGTTCAGCATGTGTTCTCCTTCATCTGTGTATTGACAGAGATGCTGCAAGGACACGTCTAACTGGTTCATTTTGTGTTTGTCCGTCAGTTGTCTTGGCACTTACCTTGAGCACACTTTCTTTAATATCAATCCATCATGCATTATATTGTATGCTGAACCAAGTGAGCACCCTATTGCAGCTGCTACAGAGTCAACCGTTACTCGCCTGTCACCTCTAATCATCTCCTCCACCCGTTGCATGGATGCATCTGTTGCAATCTCAACAGGGCCACCAGATCAGACGTCATTAACTATCATAGAGCGTCCTTGAGAAAAGTTTTTTTTACCCAGCTATGCACCGCTTTACGGGATAAAAATTTGTCAGCAAAAACAGGAGGCATTTCCTTTTAAATGTCCTTTGCAGGCAGCTGTTTTTGGACAAATCAAACAAATAAAAGCATGTTCTTCTTTGAGGGTACACTGCGTAAGTACAGTCACCATTTTGTTTTCATGGTGCATTCAACATCTAGCACCACCTAACAAATGGAGACATAAAGTTTGATGTTGTTGTGACATAATGACACCGTTAGAACAAAATTTTTATGCCAATCCATAAGCATTTGTTACTTACTTATTTACTTCCTCTTGTAAATAATGCAGATGTAAAGAATACATCCCATTATTTACTTACTGGCATATTTCAATCAACATATAATAAATTACACACAAATGAATCATTTATTTTGAAATTATAAATTATGCAACATATTTTTTGTGTCTCTGCATCATTTAAATTCACTTTGAGAAAATACTGTTTTGAAATATTTTGTTAATAATCTGTCATTACTTCCCATGCAACACTATCACCACTGTTTTGAAACAGTTTGTTAATCATCTTGGCTTCCAGGTCAATACAATATAAAACAGGTTCCAGAAAATGACAATGAAAGTAAATGCAGCCAGTCTGATGGCCACATCAAACATCCTGTAAGCGCATACAGTGATAGAGGGAAAAAAGTGACTGAAGATTGTTAAGCTTTTTTTATCATTAGATTTAAGTTCAGGGCCTTCTACACTATACCAGTCGCCCTCTTGTGGTAATGCAATTTTTCGTTATTTGATGCCCCCGCCCTGGCTTTTGCTGGGGGCCCTGAATACAGCCTGGCCATAAATATGGACTAACGGCTGAAAAAAGGGGTTTCTGGGACCTCTCCATGGGTGATCCTCATCCGCATGGTGGCACTTTGTGTCACCGGGTGTTTATCGCTTGTCTGATGTCTTGGTGGGGTACAACAAGAAAGAAAGAAAAGAAAGAAATGTTAAACTGTGGATGCAATTTTTTTTTCAAAGCTCCACCCTGGCTGTTGCTGAAGGCCCTAATATAACTCAACCTATGGGATAAACGGGGTTTCAGGGACCTGTCTCGGGTGATCCTCATCCTAATAGTGACACTTTATGTCACCGGACGTTTATTGCTCGGTGTGATATCCTGGTGGGGTTAAACATCATCATCATCAACACAGAAATGCATAAAAATGCAAACTGATACATTCTGTTAGAGATTATCAGACGTGGAAAGCCAGAGACAGAAAGAGACAGAGAGAGATAGTAAGACAACAGGAAAGAGGAACAGAGAGACATGAAAAGAGATAAAGAAAGACAGAGAGAGTTAAAAAGAGAGGTAACAAGACAGAAAAACAGAGATTTATACACAGAGACACACAGTGACATAGAGCGAAAATGAGAGACAAAGAGAAAAACAGGATGAGAGAGTAAAAAATGAGAATGCAAGAAGAATATGTGTGTGTGCATGCATGTGTGTGTATGATGAGTGCCACTTTAAAAACATGAATTTAAAACAAATAAACAGATCAATATTCATACTTCTGAGCTGTTGTACTGGCCTCCAGAGACAAGACCCTCCAACCTGTAATAGTACCAGGCCATTGCTGGGTACCCACCCGAGCACCTGGAAAACAGGACAGTGAGAATGAGAAATACTGTTCTTCTTTCAGCCCATGCATGGCGTTTGTGTCTCCAGTAATTTCAATGAAATCTGACACAGGTGATCTTCCACAGTCCATGCCATGTGGCATCTGAAGTCATGACTACCCACAATCTTCTGTCTCTCATGTACTTTTAATCTATTCTGACACAAAAGATCCTCCATGCTGTGATGTCAAATTGTCCAGCATATTCTCTTTCAATATTCCTCTGGCGCTTTTCCATTACAACTTTCCCACCATCACGATGTACTCAGGTTTTCTATTTCTTATGAAAGACAGGACATGACCAAAAAATATAGCATGTCTCCTTCTAATGTCAGTTCTCTCCTGAGTCAGTTTCTTTCAAGACATCTCTCAAACAGTTATTTATATGTAAATATTCATAGCAGAAAGACAATGATGAGAATGAACAAAGAAAACAAGAACCCAGTCTCCCTCTGTTTTACAACGAATGAATTTATCCCTAATGGACTAACTGCCAGTATACTGGCATATCATAGAGACACTCTAACTTTGTTCCGTTTGTGGTGAAAACAAACTTTTTGAACAATTAGGATTAACAACAGGAAGTCCTTTTGTTTGCGAAGTTCATCGTCGTCGGTGCATTATTTTTTTTTTTTTTTTTTTTAAATATTTAAATGGGATAAAATTTTTCATGACTTTTTCTATACTAAAATGGTAAGGAAAAAGGTCTAGAACTGTTCATGTTCATTGGAGATAATTTAGTTTAGGATATGAAAATGGAACAAAATATTTCAATCTGATCATTGTTTCGATCAGCTGTTTTCCCGATTTTTGGTTGTCGTGAAATTAAACATGTCAGACAAAAATGATCATAACATCCAAAGTATTTAAATTAATTGTTTCAAATAAAGACTGGCTGATACATAATTGAACAGAGAAGGCATATGCATTCTTAGAATTGGATAGCAGGGTTGTTGAACAAGTAAAAAAGTAAGGTAAGAACAAAAATTGTTATGTCAATAATCTTCATATGTGTCTAACATTCTTGAATGTTGTGTGATTTTATTAATATTTTGTTGTAATACTGACATTCAAATAGTTTAGATTTATTCTGCACTCATTTATCTTCAATTTGATATAAGTCCCGATACAGCCAATACTTTTTCTTCAGGAAGGTTTTTAGCTTTGTCGTGTTGCAGTAAAAAAGAAATTCCGCACAAAATTAATGCTGTCCAAACCCCAGACAAAATGTGGTCCTGAAAGAGTTAAAACTGCTCAAAGAGCTCCAACACAGTACTTCTGTAACAAGCAGAGGCAGTTGTGTATCGCTCACCTGCCAACACAAAGGTCTTTGATTCAAATCAGCATTTACCAGATTTTTTTGTAATATGATCTTGGCTTCCAGCTGACCGAGCCTGAAATGAGTACCAGGTAAAGTCCTGGGAAGGGTGCATGGTGTTGACGTCATCACCCACCGAGTGCTGATTGGCCTATAAATACATCAGTCTAGCATCATATGTCCCATGGCCACTGGTGTGAAAATAGTTCTTTTACTTGACTACCTCCGTAAAATGACAGGGAGTCATGCTTAAGGTGCAGGAGTTTGGGAGACACCAGAATTGAGAAAGCAGAACTGAGAATCTTTGACAGGATCATCTCAGAAGCCCTGAGCTCTGATACATCAAATGCTTCCTGTACCCTCATTTATTAATGTGGAATCATACACCGACTCTGGCAAAAATGTAGACACAGATCAAGAAATAAAGATATTACCTCTCTCTCTCTCTCACTCACGCATGCATGCACACACACACACAATCAATCAAAAGGACTTTGAACCCCTTTTAGGCCACTGGCACACTTAACATATACTGCTTGATCCTTATTTTCACAGCGTATTAGGAATTATCCCTTTCAGCCTGGTAATACTAAATAAATGGGTCATAACCCCTTAGGTATTCTCTGAAATTCTCCAACAATTTCTCATAGGTCAAAAGAATTTTCTTCTTTTTATTAATATTCATGTATAATTTCAATTTTTTTTAAATTGGAGATATATAAAATGAGTAATTAATAAACATGCACAGAGTGAAGCATGAATAAAATGCACTCATCGGGGTTTTAAAATTTATGTACTGAGTGACCCCATGACCTCAATCAATGAGGCCTATGGGAAAATGTTACATTAACTTGCCTTTAAATAAACCATATGGTTTAAAGGGACCCCCCCCACCACTTTTCCCCTCACCTAGCAATTTTTTGTTAATATATTGACATCATAATGTCTTAACATTAGGCAGGGGTGAACAAAGTTAATAGTATTAACTAACTATACATCTCGTAAACAGGTCGCCATGAAGTCAAAAAAGTAACATATATGGGGAATTGGCCCCAAACAGAAGTGTTGGTTTTGCAGCTACTTGAGGAAACAAGATTAAATGGGTGACACCGGCAACTTCTTGATGGCCACTTTCACTCCATATTCCTGTACCATTAATGATTGTAGGCTGCGTCAGCCTAGGAGACAGGTCAATTACGAAAATCTGCCTCAATGTAGATTCAAAAAAAATAAAAATAGTTGGGAATGCATCTAGTCACTGCACTACCGTGTCTCCCAAATTAAAAACTTTCAAAGAACAAAGAAATCTGTGGAAGTGAAAATAAATTAAACTTGTTACTATATTCAGAATACCTAACTTAATATGAAACCATTAAATAAATTCCTATTTGCTCAATAGCCATAATTACAACTAGACAAGAACACAAACTTGATACGAAACAAAAGATCATGTGAGATGGTAAATCACGACAACTCAACTTGTTGGTATATGACATGATGAATGCATCCTAGAATGTAATTTCAAATTCTTAGTTAATAATGATATGGAAACCAAACATATTTAAGAAATCAACAACAAAATGAATTACCCAAATCCGCAAATATGGCAGCAGGTCATCAAATCTTCTGCTGAGACATGAAACTGAGTCTTCCCCTTGGATTTGATACAGATACGGTCTGTCATGGCCTCAACTGCTCCAAATGCCTGTGTATTCAGAAAACAGTGGCAAATATAAGAGGGGATTACACTTAACTCTAATATTTGTAGTGTTAAAAAATATATATATATCAAACCCAGTCAGTCAGTCAGTAGCCTGTCCTTTGCAGAACCCTGCTCCCATAACAACCTTTTGGAAAACTTCTTGATCACCAGCAAGATGACCCACATTTGAAGATCATCTACCACGTCCTGCACCCATCTTTCTTTGGCCTTCCTCTTCCTCTCTTCCCAGGTATACACCCCTCCATTTCTTTTAACTCTAAACTTTCATGACATTTCAAGTGACCAACAAATTTAAATTTTCTGTTTTATGATCTTTAATAGCCAAACTTCTTCAATATTCAGTTCCTGAAGTATGGATGCATTTGTTCTTTTTTTTACCCATGATATTCTCAGAACCTATCTATAACATTTGTATTCAAAGGCATTTATGCGTTGTTCAGCATTTAAAAAAAAAAATCACATGAATTTCTCCCCTTGCTCTATATTTAATCAGGTAATCACAATTTCAACTTCACAGCAGCCTGGTCACCCTGTGTCCCAGTGCCAATGACAACCACACAGAATGTCCATCAATGTCCCTTGTAAAAAAAATGACAAAGACTGCAGTCTCAGCATAGCCAATATCATATACTTCTTTTCTTCTCTCTCTGAGAGAAGAGTTAGATGGTTTCCTGCCTTTTGCTAGTAGTGTAGCTTGTGATGTCATACTGCCTTTCTGTAGTGTACCTTGTGATGTCATACTGTCTTTCTGCAGTGTCTTTTAGGTTCCTGCCTTTTACTAGTAGTGTAGCTTGTGTTAATGTCATATACTGTCTTTCTGTAGTGTCTTTTAGTTTCCTGCCTTTTGCTAGTATTGTAGCTTGTGATGTCATACTGTCTTTCTGCAGTGTCTTTTAGTTTCCTGCCTTTTGCTAGTAGTGTAGCTTGTGATGTCATACTGTCTTTCTGCAGTGTCTTTTAGTTTCCTGCCTTTTGCTAGTAGTGTAGCTTGTGATGTCATACTGTCTTTCTGCAGTGTCTTTTAGGTTCCTGCCTTTTACTAGTAGTCTAGTTTGTGATGTCATACTACCTTTCTGCAGTGTCTTTTAGGTTCCTGCCTTTTACTAGTAGTGTAGTTTGTGTTAATGTCATACTGCCTTTCTGCAGTGTCTTTTAGTTTCCTGCCTTTTGCTAGTAGTGTAGCTTGTGATGTCATACTGTCTTTCTGCAGTGTCTTTTAGTTTCCTGCCTTTTACTAGTAGTGTAGTTTGTGTTAATGTCATACTACCTTTCTGCAGTGTCTTTTAGATTCCTGCCTTTTGCTAGTAGTGTAGTTTGTGTTAATGTCATACTACCTTTCTGCAGTGTCTTTTAGTTTCCTGCCTTTTGCTAGTAGTGTAGCTTGTGATGTCATACTACCTTTCTGCAGTGTCTTTTAGGTTCCTGCCTTTTACTAGTAGTGTAGTTTGTGTTAATGTCATACTGCCTTTCTGCAGTGTCTTTTAGTTTCCTGCCTTTTGCTAGTAGTGTAGCTTGTGATGTCATACTACCTTTCTGCAGTGTCTTTTAGGTTCCTGCCTTTTACTAGTAGTGTAGTTTGTGTTAATGTCATACTGTCTTTCTGTAATATCTTTTTTACTCCCTCCACCCATCCCTTTCTTGGTCAGGCTCTTGCCTTGCAGCCTGCTGTTCTCATGTAGTATCTTCTAGCTGTCAGCTGCCATTATGACAAGATGACTAAACAATTTGATTCTATAATCTACTGGTACTGTGACTAATGTTCTTTTTAGTTCTTCATTAGTGACTCTGTCTCTTCTTGTTTTTCTGCCACATTTCATCTTACATGTTTTAATTTTATGTTTATGTGTTTTCAAGACTGTCCATGTCTGGCACTGATAGCTCAAAGTTGGTGCCAATAGCATACACACGCATTAAATGCAAAAGGCAGTCATGAGAAGTCCCTGCACTAGAAGTGCACTTCGCCATCAATGGAAGCAGCAGTTAGAACAAATCAGTAGTCTCTCATGAAATAAAACTGCATAATGTACCACCAGCTCTCTAGTAACAGGCCACTCACTATTTTCTGAATCTGCAGTTCACAACACAAACCACACATGGAACAGTTGAAAAACATCCCAAAATAAATATGCAGCTCACAGTGTCACACCAAACACTGCACTCAGTATTTGGGTGATGAAACTACATCCTTTCAGTCTACATATGGAGGAAAACACAACAGCTAACAAGTGTCAGAAGCAAAAACTTGCCACTACTAAAAACAGTAAGCCGTCTGCCTGCCATTCTGACCACTGTATTTTATCTCCTAGGAGCATAATCCCTCAATAAACTCAAGTCAAGCCCTATACAGTCTTGGTCATGATTAATATGATTCTAAATTACAGTTTACTATGAGATAAGGCAGCCAGTCTTATGCCAACTTCTCCCAGTCAACTCTATAATATTTCCATTTTTTCCTTAGCATTCACCAGCTGTTAACTCCAGCGGAAAGTTCTCGTTGTTTGTTCATTTCTGGACTTTCGTCTTGTTTCGGAATTTGAGTTTTATATGCACATCCATTTTACAAATCTGATTTACAGATGTTGCTTATTTGTATGCAGACTGCTGGTTCCTCGCCTCAGGCAGAGGCAACCCAACATTGAAACATCCTTACTTAGTCACCTTTTACGACTTAGGAAGACCATATATCCAACACCACACTGAGCAAAAAGTTCTGGATGGTATCTTCCCATGTATGATTTTGAAAGCTGGACAATGAGTAACGAAATGCTGAAGATACTAGGGCTACAGGAGGCATATTTTTGAGAAATATGTTGACAATATCATGGACAGAGGAGAAAATAAAACTGCTGGACAGCCTGGCATCATTGCATCTGTAACTGAAATGACAGGCAGTATACAAGACTGAAAGCAGAGGACAGACATGGTCAGCCATGACACAGCATAGATTACTGAAAGAAAAGGACATTCAATTTCTTTAGCATTTTATGACTAAACCCAAAAAGTGAAATAATCTAAAACACATTGACGGCACACTAGAAGAACAACCAATCACAACTAGTGCGTTGTCTGGGACAAAACATGTTTAATAAACTGTAAATAATCTCATCAGCTACATTTTAAGCATCAGTTTTTATAAGTTTAAAAGATGAAAAGTTAACCTCAAATTGTGTTATTGCCCTTTTTGTAGATGTTCACATCAAACTCAAGAAATGTTAGTGAGTTAATAGTGATGTCAGGATAGATGTAGCAGTTTTACCGTCACAGAGTGTACTACATGAGAACAGGCTACAAGGCAAATGGCTAGTTAAGAAAAATACAGAGGAAGCAAAAGGGATTCTATAAAAATGCACTATGACATTAACACAAGTTATGTAACTAACAATAGACAGGAAACTACATCAAACCCCTCTCTGTGACACTTTATACATTGAAAGCAGTAGGACAAGAGAAGTAGTAGTTTCATTATCTGTGTTGTTGTATGCTGATTAAAGCTTTCTCCTTTTTGGTGGCTGTGTGTAAGGGGGCTGCGTGGTCTTAAGGTATGGCGTCTGCCGCAAGTGCTAGAGGTCCCAGGATCAAGCCCCGGTGAAGGCTTAGATTATTTTTTTTCATGTGGACTTCTAGTAATTTACCCTGGTCTCTGGGCAGTGAGATCAAATGCCCATGTGTGTTGTTGTGCACATAAAAAATCCCTCAGCAGTTGAAAATCGAAAAGAGTTGCCCACTGACACTGCCCGGGCAAAATTTTGAATTTAAAATCTACCCAAAATATTTCAGGATCCTTGCAGGTGCTACGGAGCCCTTGCATTGTGCTGAGCTACTTCAGACTCAAATTTAAGTTAATAGAAGAACGGAGCACTTATGGGTTACTAGCCTTGTGCCATGATGTTGATCTGTTGTTCAAACCTCAAATCTAGTGATTGTGTTTTACTCTGAAGCACATTTTATTGCATGCTGACTTGCTCTACTTCTTACTTGGGTTTAAGTTTTTCACAGTCCTTGCACTGAAACCTACATGGTCAAAGGAATAAATCAGTTCTCGTTATGCCTAGTGGCACATGAGGCTTCAGAGAGGACTTTCCATGCTTTCCTGTCCTGTGCAATCTTCAGTGCAGTTTTCCATGTCAAAGATGCCGCACTCAGGTCACTTTCCATCGTTCGTCAATGTTGTTTTTGGGCGCCCCCTGTTTTCTCTTTCACTCTGGTGTCCATGTGAGAGTTGTCTTGGCAGGTATATCACAAGTCATTCTCAAACGTGCCAAGCCATTTCCATCTTTCATGGTAATCATATTGTCTAGAGTACCTTATTTTGTAGCCTGAAGTAGTTGAGTGTTTGAGATTGATATCTGCCCCTTAAGCTCAGCACATCTGATTTCAGCAAATCCTCGGCTAGTTACTTTTTATATCATTATTTTTTGGGGGCGCGCTTTTATCCTTCCCCCCCCCCCCCCTTCCCCGCATCCTTTAAACTGTTCTCCAGAATCCACTCAGAAATCTGAAAAGTTCAATCACGTCTCTCGGAGGAGGAAATAATGAATCATAAAAACATACCCAGCAAGATCCACAATCGCCTTGGTCACGAATTTCATTCAGAGAAGGGCAATAAGGCCATTGGACTCGAGGGTCAAAGTTTTCAGGCAGCTCTGATGATTTTAGTCTTTTTTCAAAATCCTTTCTGGGCAACTGACTGACCATGAACTCTGACTTGGCCATGTCAGGAACTCCCAAAATTCTTCTGACATGTGTTTGTTCTGATGGAAGGAAGTTTCGTCCAGCCTTGAAAAATATAATAAATACAATCATTTTTTTTTAAATGCAAGTCAAAATAACAGACAGCAATAACTATATAAGTAATACTTTGATCCTTCTGTCAGAAAAATTCATATCAGAAGGCTAGTAGTCTTTATAAAAACTATCATGCAGTCCTTCTTCTTCTTGTTCACCGGCTGTGAATTCCGGCGGTAAGTCGCGGTTGTTCGTCCAAAATGGACTTTTGGCTTTTACCTTGACCTGAGTTTTGCGTGTACATCCGTTTTACTGGCTTATTTGTTTGCAGTTCTCGTTCCCCGCCTCTCCGGCAGATGTACTCCGACTTCGGAGGAATTATGCAGTCCAAAACTCCATGTGTACCATACAGTTTGTCTTGACTTAGGTTGGAACGGGCCAGATTGTTCACTGCAAACAGTTTATGGTGTTGAGTACATGCTCAGCTTTTTCAGGCAACAAATTGTAGAGACACATTTTTGTGTTTCCAACGTCAAACGTAAATATTTGTGCCCTGTCCTTAGTTTGATCATGAAACACTGTAGTGAGGGGATGAAGTGAATAAAGGCAAAAGAATTATTGTGTACGTATCCAACTAGTAAAAGAAAGAATTCCCTTAACCCTACCATACCTGAGGACCTGAACCTAAATGTCCCCTATACCTAAGCTCCTGGGCATTAACGGGAAAAAACCAACATGATATACAAAAATATTCGTTACATGCAAACAAGTAGCTAGAATAAGATGACACTTATAGACATTGTACAAAATAGGCTTATCTTTTATCTAGCGCCAATATTCCACCTTTGTGTGCCAATCCACTCAGGAGGATCACGATTGTTTCACTTAGTGAGCACCAGATGTTGCTGTTTGAGGGAGTACGCCCCCTTCTCTTACTACAGATCTTTCTAGATTTATAATTTTCAAGGTTCTCCTCATTGTTCATGCTGAATGAGTCACTTCAACTGTGAACGTATTATTCATGAAATTATTGACTCCTCAGAGTCTGAATAAAGCAAAGTTTTGATCACCTGTTGGACTGTGAAAAGCCTAGGCCTACTTTACTTTCTTGTCGAATTGCTTGGTTCATCAGCCGCTCGTTTTATTGTGAATTTTCAGAATTTTTTAACGTAAAACAACAAATTTTATCCAAACACACGTGGGGGGACATCTAGGAAGTTCATCCAGGAGATCTGATAACTATTGGCTAGTTATTTTTAGTCTGTGACGCATCTTGTTCACGCACTATGCAAATAGCCGAAAATTAGTTGCCAGTGGTATAGCGTTAGGTTAAGAAATTACAAAAAAATCGGCCCAGCGGTCTGGTAAGATTAAGAATAAGAAAGATACACTGTTCTTTAGCCACAAAATGAGAAGAGAGACATCAGAGTATTCACAGTGTCACACCATGCACTAAACTCAGTAATGGGGTGATGGAGCCTTTGGACTCCCGGTGCAGAAATGGGGATTTTGCATCAGTAAAACCTAGCTGGAAACAAATAACTTTTCAAAGCGTCAGCGGTTAGCTGGCTTTCTGCCATTTTGGATACTCGTATTTTTAAATATCTCTTGGTGGGTTAAGTCACAATCTGATTACATCATATCACTGCCCGGTCTGTCTGCTATTTCACTGCCTTCCAAGCCACAGTGACCTGGAGTCCACTGCAGACGGATTTTCAATTGAAAAGACTATGTTTATGTATGCATGTTTCAAACTGATGGAACAAGCATCAACACGCAACAGATTTTTTTTGCAAATGTCACTCCGGTAAAGACTCTTGGGCATTTACTTTATCTTATTTCATGTCTAAGGTGTCTTTAACATCCTGTGTCTACATTCATGTTGCCTGACATCTGCCTCCTTTGCCAGGTTTTCTTTCATTAGCTCTCTTTTCATTCCTAGACTCTTTTTAATTTATTTAATTCATTTTGTTTACATTAAGTACAACAAATCTGTCAAAGAACTCACATCTCCATGGTTTCAACTCAACATTTTAATTGCTTGTTCCTTCTCCTTGTTTCTGCTCAATACAACAGTGCTGAATTATGACATTTTTAATATGCTTTTTATGTCTCTTGATGTCAAAAATGTTCTCATGTCACTTATATTAAAATGGCTATCAATTAGTACAAAAGAAATAATAATGAAATAAATATTTATTAGCAATTCAAAACCAAAAACAAACGAGGTTTAAGAGAAATAAACTGCAAATTATATCAGCCGAAATATTTAACTAATATAGCAGAAATTACTAACCTTCCAGGTTGTATCAGCAATATGATTGATGTAATTGATATGATCATCTGAGAGCAGTCCAAAATCTGGTCGTATCAGCCAGCTAAATGCTGGGCTTACCAAGCAGAACAGAATACAGTATTTCAACATGGCTGTGGCTGAAGTACTGAATAACAAACACAAACGTGTCAGAAAACAATACAATCAATGTATTTATTTATTTCACAAAACATTTTTATAGAATTTATGGCTATCCTCCGAACTTCAGGCACTAAAGATGGCGGCCGCAAAATATCCTTTCGAGCCACAGTCACGTGACTTAATTTGCGGTTCTCCAGGGACTACTGCCAGGAGTCCTCCACGCCGCTCACTCGGCATGGATTGGGGCTAAACTAGATGGCTAGGACTCACAAGCAAAGCTTCAGGAGATGCGGAAGCTGCTGCTCGTGGGTCCTAGCCATCTAGTTCAGCCCCAAACCACGCCGCCTGAGCGGCATGGGGGACTCGTAGCGGTGGCGGTAGTCGCCGGAAACTGCAGGAGAACCGCAAATTAAGTCGCCGGAAGTGCGCATATGACACGTGACTGTGGCTCGAAAGGATATTTTGTGGCCGCCATCTTTAGTGCCCGAAGTTCGGAGGATAGCCAAATTTATTTTCTATTATGACTACAATGGGATCCTCACGGCCTTAAAAGTCCTGAGTCGTAGAGGCGACTAGCAGGATGCTGACCACATCACCCATCGATGTCTATACAAATATGTGTCTAGTCTCATCTGTCTAATGCATCATTGATGCTTACAGGCAGGCACTTTTCACATGCCAATAATAATCTTAATCAAGAGATGCGAACAGTAAAATGTACAACCAGAACTAGAAATAATTATAACGTCAAGAGAGCTTTCCATAGTTGGCTGGTTTCTGTGACTATTGTTTTTATGAAGAGAACTAAACAAGTTCCAGTGGACCAAGCGGTGAAGAACAGATGCTGGCATTGGATTAGACACACATTGAGAAAACCTGAGAATAATGCACTATAACCAGAATAGAATATCTTTGCAAGGAACCCACAAGGGAAGAGAAAAAAGGACAGACCCAAAAAATAATTAACAAATAAGGGGGCTAAGAATAAATGTTACAAAACAAAATGGGGAGAACATGGGGTTAGCTGCATGTGACAGCCAAGGACAGAACGGCTTAGCGTAAGTTGGTTGAGGGTCTATGTCAATCCAAACAAAGGGAAACCTGGAATCCCCAGCTGAGTGCAGTATTTAAGGGGTGTTATGTGTCGGGTTTACATAACTGACAAATTGATCGCTCAGGGTTACAACGACCATCGGAAAATATGGAGTGATAGCATTAAGAACAGCCTTACAGAAATGAACATCAATCTTAATAGTGATCTTGATAGATCTCGTCAAAGAATGTTACACCCCTCCCCCCCCCCTTCCCCCCCCCCCCGACACTTCGATGAGGTGCGAGATGAAATAAAGAAGAGGAAGTTATGTGTCGGGTTGTTGTCAACGTTTACCACTTCATCGTTATTAGTGTATGTGTGAGTATGCGCGTGTGCGCGCGCATGTTCAATTGATGGATATGAGTGTGTGTGTATTTTATGTTGTGTGTGTGTGTGTGTGTGTGTGTGTGTGTTTAGCCTTGAATTTCCTTGACCTGTCAGCATTGATGAGTGACAAGCAGAGCAGCGTTGCTTTTCTGCAGCAGCATGGCATCTGGCATTCTGCCGAACGGTGCTCCAAGAACGAGCTCATGGTGTTGTAGTTAACTGAGCGTTAGATATGCCGATATTCCAACAGTCGACGGGACATCCCGCTCAGGCATGGCACGTGGCTGCGAGGCTCGTGTCTGTCTACCTTAAAGACTGGTCATTTTTTTTTACTACTGATTTCAACAGGAGCCGCCGTGGTCTAGCGGGTAGAAGCTCGCCTGCGGATCGGAAGGTCGTGGGTTCGGGTCCTGATAGGGGCCGGACTTTTTTCAAAAATTAGCTTGACTCCCAGGTCGACTCAGCCTTGAGTGAGTACCAATTAAAGTCCTGGAAAGTAAAGGCAGCCGGCATAATGCTGACCACATCACCCGTTTGGTCTATAAAATATAGGTCTAGCCCTATATACCAGTATACGCCTGAAGGTGTGGAAAAGGGTCCTTTCCTTACTTAGAATCTCAAGAGTTGACGAGCATGTCATTTTGTCAGTTAAAGTGAGGGATGTCGGCAGCAGCAACTGTTGACTGGAGCAATTACCTACTGGAGGTCGTGCCAACACATTGCTAGTCGGTCCTGATCGGAGGACCCAATACCACTGTTGAGATAGATGAGAGCTTGTTTACGAGTCGTGACAATCTCGTGGGAGGAGTTTTCCCCCCAAATCGGATATTTAGTGGCATCTGTCGTGAGACAGGCGAGTGCTGCATATTTTGTCTGCCAGAACAGAATAGACGCTACTGCCGATTATAAGCACACGCACATTCGTCCTGGCACAACGGTAGTCCCCGACCTCTGGCCTGCATACATTCGGCCTGGCACAACGGTAGTCCCGGACCTCTGGCCTGCATACATTCGACATCTCTTCTTCTTAAAGTCCATGTCATATCGCGTTGGTATTAATGTCTATCCACACCTTCTGTCTAGCGCTTCTGAAACAGATGATACTCCATGCCATGATGTCAAACTGTCCAGCATCTTTTCTCTCGGTCTCCCTCTGCCTCTCCTTCCCTCCAACTTTCCTACAATCACTATGTACTCCAGTTTTCTCCTTTTCATCACAAAGAATGTATTGCCTCTTTCTGATGAGGGCAGTCAGTTCTTTATGCGAGTCAGTTTCTTTTAAGACATCTTTATTACTCCAGATCTACTAACCATTTAAAACTTTATGAATATCAACTCACGAGCAACCCAGCAGTATACATAATGAAGACTGTCGTTTGGTTCTTCCCAAGACGGTCCTTTTTAGCCCCCTCTCCCCATATTCCCAATTGCCCCCCCCCCCCTCCCTTTTCATCCTGACGATTTCACATAGAGTTCGTTTACACAACACACACAATGAACGAAAGATAATGAGGGATCTGGGTGTAACCGGAGGGTCTGGCCGGCTCACTACACTCAAGGGAAAGGCAAGACGGACATATAACCAGATTGTGACCGGTACCATCGGTGTTGGAACTCTGCGCTGGCTGCTGAAGATGAGGACGAAGCGTGGATGGGAATGCCCCGAGTGCTGTGATGTCAATTTTTGACTCAACTCAACATAATGAATGTTACACAGTTATTCACAGTTGCACAGTTTGTGGGGGGGGGGGGTGTTCGCAGACACATCAATTCTTTTTCACCCGGTGCACACACTTTTCCTCAGACTGTGTGAACACTGAAAGAAGTCAAAGCCTCACACCCCTAGAATAGTGGACTCGACTGAGGATTCCAGATTTCCCTTTTGTTTGGGTTAACCTGAAAATTATTGTACCGTAGACTGAATTATTGTTCGCTAAATTATGAAACATGAACATGAAAAGTTTCTGAAAGCTCTGTTCTCTTGTGTTTGTGATAGTGACAGAATGGATGAAAGAGAAAAGAGGGTGGAGAGAGAGAGAGAGAGAGAGAGAGAGAGAGAGAGAGAGAGAGAGAGAGAGAGAGAGATGGAGAAAGGAGGGGGGGGGGATCTTTGAAAACAACGAGGGATGGGAATTAGGGATGTAAAAATTAGTGGAAAACCCATAGTTGAACAAGAGCATGGGGAAGTTTATTGCAGATGCGTTGCCCATTAATGACTCAAACACATCAACATACAAGACCTGCAGGTTATAACTGCACTTAACTGATCGGTTGGTGTAAGTCAAGTGTTTTCAACCTTTAAAAAAAAAAAGGCTACACCCTATTATCAAACCACAACTTAGTGTTGCAGGGTGCAAAAGGGCTGTTCACAATTTTGATTTGGCTGCAGGCGAACTAAAAATCTGGCAAGTTCGTGAGCATAAAAAAAGACGGGACAGAAAAAAACGGCCATCATCGCATCCACTTCATTATTCGCAGCAACCCAGCGCAGACAGCCCAGTCGTACGCACCTCTCGTCTTCCGCTCGATCGCTGACTCTCCATTCGTGGCCCGATTCTCGATAACCAGATATTTGACACTGATTCGCTTGACATTCGGCTGAGTCTGTCTTGACTGGTTATCGCACATTCGGCGTTGCGGGTGGGGTTTCAGCAGCCCATTTTTAGCACCATATACTAACGATTGTCTCGTGAACTGCAGAGAAAGCAGGCTTGGTGTTATTTTCAGAGCACTTAACAAGCCTTGCCGACTTCGCGTGGATCTAGCTCTGGGTAGATATCGCCAATTACAGCATTTTCTCCATCATGGGAAAAAAAACAGGCACAAACCGCCGCACCGAAATCAAAGAAGATGCCGGCCAGGCCTAGCCACAGCCACGTGGACGCCAGCGCCGCAGCTTCACCATCAGCACCCGAGGAAGGCGCCCCTGTCGTGGCGCCTCACTCACCTAACAGAGAGATGCCAGCAACTGAAGCCTCCCCTATCGTGGAGCCATCAACTGAAGCCTCTCCTATCGTGGAGCCATCACTTAAAGCCGCCCCAGTCGTGAAGCAGGGCGCAACCAGCACCCGCCTACTAAAGCAGCAGCCTGGAGCCCACACCACAGACATCATGCAGTGCTCACGCTGCAACAGGGCGTGGCACACCGCCGCGACCTGTCGCAGTGGCCCTATTTGTCGATACTGTTCGGGAACCCACGACGTCAAAGCGTGCTCCCTGGCAAAAATCGACCAGGACTTCAGGAGGCCGAACAACAACAGACGTTGTTCGAACTGCACAGGCGCTCACAGCGTGAGGTATCTGGGATGCCCGTACCTCAAGACATTAAGAGAGGGGTACCCAGTGCCGCACGCCCAGAGCCGGCAAAAAGGTATCGGGCACCCAGACCAACCAGCCCGACTAGCACCAACTAGCCGAATAGCCAGGCCGAACTATTGCGTGTGATCACGGAACTTAAAGCCGAATTACAGCAGCAGAAAGCCATAGCCACCGCCGAGAAAGCCGAAACGCACGAGCTAATCTCCCTGATGCTGGGGGAGATTAAAGCCTTGAAAGAAGACAGAAAGCCTACACAGCACAACAGCTTGAA